TCACATTCCTTAGTTCAAATTTTTTTTTTTCAAAATTTTTAACTCAGAACTTAAAACGATCACTCACTAGTAATATTGACTCCATTGCTCTTCTCTTATAATTATTCCTAATGTTGTAACTGATTCCCTCGTTATACGTTTCGAATCCTATACAAAACGTGTACCTGCTGTGCCAATTATGTTGTATCTTTCAGTGGAAATGAAGTTATGTCTCCACTATAGACCACCCAAAAATAATATACCCTTTTCGTCAACGATTTTATTTATTTTTTTCTTTAAAAAAACAATATTTGCATTGCTGCTGCTGTTGTTGTTGCTGTTGATAGTGTTGCTGTTGTTGATGTTGTTAATGTTGTTGATGTTGTTGCTGTTGATAATGTTGTTGTTGCTATTGATAATGTTGCTGTTGTTGATGTTGTTGGTAATATTGTTGTTGCTGTTGGTAATGTTGTTGTTGCTGTTGATAATACTGTTGTTGATGGACTCAATTTCACTTTTTGTTGTTCTATGTTCTTTGCTTTGATTTTCTCTTATTACTTTGTTATTTTTGTAATTGTTTCTTTGAATTACATTAATTTTTTGTAATTGTTTGTTAAATTAAATTAACTGAACATGTATGATTCGATTTGATAAATTAAATAATTGTTATTACTAAAATAACTCAAAGGGACAAAGTGCGCACGCAACTCCAGTCTCCAGAGTGCGTTCGCAACAGTCCACCCATGTTTTCACCTTTGGGAAACAGTGAAAACATTGATCATGTGCGTAATGTATGATCGAAAATTTATTATTATTTTCTACGGTTCTGCAGAAAATAGAAGCTTAAATATTGACCTAGTTACCTGTTGGTAACTGCCAATATTTCGAAACACACAATTCTGCATAAAGAATATTATTGAGTTCACTGATTGAACTCAATAATATTTGGAAATGAAAACGTTTCCGCGTTGTATGCAGAAATTGTTAAATATGAAAATGGGTCGTATTAACAATTTGCATTACGTACCAAGGAAAAAATTCGTAACAAATTGTTAATTAAAACTCTAGGGTGTCTAGTTGAACTAGATACACAACAGTGTGCTTACTGGGGTAATAACGGGACACTGTGCCATTGCACCTATGCTCCAACGGTGGCAAGTTTCAACAAGCGAATTATGCAGGAGTTGCCAAGATGAATAGGAGGTAGAATCTATCAATCACTTCCTTTGTCTCTGTCCAGGACTTCAGACAAGGCGACTTTAATGTCTCGGGCATCGCTTTTTCACTGGCTTGGAAGCAAACTTATTGGATCTCCTCAACTTCATCTGGAAAACCAAATGGTTTAACTAGGATTACAAAGGTTAACAGCTTGCCTCTCCCGGCAAATTTTTTTGAGGGCATCACAATGGGCAGTATACCAATATACCAATATATATGGTATGCCTCCGAGTGAGAGTGCTGGCAATGGTCAGCACGCACCTTCCGAACCTAACCTAACCCCCACGGTTTTGGATTGCATTTTCTGCTAAGTCGAGTAGAGGTGCATATAATGTGAATTTCTCCTAATTTCTTAGAGAAATAGGATAAACGTTTGGCATCAGCTCATTGACAGCTGATTTGTACTTTAACCTATCCTATTTATTTATATTTTTGACATTAATGAAAGCTTTCAAATTGCAGGTAACTGACCCATTAACCACTACAGTGTATTCTAAAATCACTTGATCTGAGAAGGAATATAGAGTGGAGAGTTTCCATTTCATGACAGAGTCATAAAGTCTGGCAGTAGTAATAGTGATATTAAGACCTCCTGCCTGTTTTTAGTAATAAAAGTTAGCCTGTTGCCATCATTATATATAAATAGATTATTACTTAGGATATAGTGAAAAACTAAGTAACCTCATTCATTTGTGTTTCACACGCCAAATACCTCATTACGAGTCTGTATTTTAGCGGCGTTAAAATCCCGGAGGTAGTGCATCATGATCATGAGTCAAATATAAGGATTCTGCACCAAGCTTATAAAAAAAATTAGAAAATATTCACGCACAATTATCAAAAGATGATACAAATTAGCAGGTCCTACATTTTGTGATAACATGATTGCCACTCATAACAGGAAACCGACAAATAATGTAAATAACTGAAATTACTGAGGAAACTGACTGCATCAAAATTAGATTAAGGGAAGTAGAAATGAATGAAACAATAACTAATATACACATAATTGCTCCAAATGAGCTTAGCTTAATAATTTCATAAATCTAACCAAATTTACAGAATTTACTTATTTTCAATAAAGATACATTATATTAAGAAATAAATTTACTTCAATTCAAATTGAAATCAGTGACTTCTTTGTCGGAAGACATTAGGCAGAAACAAGATTTCTTGAATGTCATAGGACGAAATATACAGACGAAATTACAAACGAAAATAATCATTATACCATAACTACAGTTAACAAACAAACAATAAATCAGCATTTTAATGACACTGTGGCAGTACTTAAACATAACCAAATCAAAATAAAGAATAGTGAGATTGTAAGACATTTATTATATATTCACCAAAAGCAAAAAATTTGACTTAAAAAAACACTACATGAAATATAAGAGGCTAAGTACAAATTTTACCGTTCAAGCATTCGTGCTGTTAACGAAAAATTCCAAATGCAAGTCATCGGCATACCCATAGCTCTTGTACTAGAACTATATTAGTAACCTATCTATTGAAGCCATGCATCAGGCTGGCGGATGCAGTCTTACACTGCTGTAGGTTAATTTGTTTGACCCACATCATTATCACAGTGGTTTGTGAAGTCACTAATTTCCATATTAAGAGCACTATTCTCATTTTCGAATTTCAGGAAATGATCGTCGACAAAGCGATAGCGTGTACCTATTGTCTCCTTTTATATGAGCATCAGAAGAACTGTGATTTTTCCACAAATATTACGGGGAATTAGAAAAAGGTTATCCGAAGAAAAAACTATTTCTCTTAGAAATTTGGTTGAATGTACAAATTCGTATCTCTTGTCGTTAACATAAACTTCATTATTAGATAACATAAACTGACCTAACCAGAGATAAAAAAGACTTGTTTTGTAGCCTAGTGTATTTTTCTGCGATTTTGAAAAAATAGTTATTTAATATTTAAAATAAAAGATTTGCCTATAAATTTCTTGTTCTGTATATTAAGAGAAAAAGAAAACGTGGAATTTCAAGAACAGAAAAACAAATTACCAACCGAAAGTACTTAAGTATTTTAAATGAATAGCTTAACCAAGAACGCATCATTTTGAATTGCACGCGACACAGCGGACCCAACTTCCGATATGGACACAACGTCATTTAAGACATTTGGCTGATTTGTTCGAAAATGTCCCCGAAGACCATTATACATTTTTATGGATAGGTTAAAATAATGCGTCCTCAAGACGTTTTTAAAAACGGATTGATCCGTTTCCAGTTAGGGCCTTTAAAAACTGGTTTCTCGTCCGAACAAGAAAATATGATTTAAAAAAAAATGATATAATAGTAGGTTTAAAGCAAAAACAATGGTGCCATATAAAGCATGCTATACCCATGTATTTATACTGGTATATGGTATATACGAGAAATTGCAAACTAAGAATTCTATTGTTTATTGAGCCAAGTCTATTTGTTCTGTGAGTTGATTAGATGCTATAAGGATGAAGTTGCAGAGTAAGCTAAATCCGTTCTTAAAGATCGTTCCAACAGTGTTTTTTTAGTTAATAACTATTGTATAAATATGTAATATTAAAATGAGTTTGAAGGGGATAGAATGAATATTGGAAATTAAATAAATACGTTTTAAAAATTTTTAATTTCTTGTCCAGTTTAACAAATCTCGTATATTATCCACTAGAATGCGAAACCAAAAAACCAAAATTATTTAGTCGATTTCATTTGTCTATTCTAAATATGTAACATTTATTTATAAGATTTAATGGAATGAAAAAAATTGCATATGTGAAAAAACTTGGATGAACATGTTTTACAGTGGCTTTTGAAAAATAATTAGTAATTCTTATTCTTAATAAAAGTTACTATTTACAGAAATATGCGAAAGCATGGGACTCTACATTAAATTTCAAAATATAACTGCAAATAATAGTAACAGTGAACGTGTAAACGGTATTAAAGCAAAGCTTTAGCAAAGCTAAATAATTAACAAATTAATAATATATAATCCTGATTTGAAATAATAGTAACAGTGAACGTGTGAACAGTATTAAGGCAAAGCTTTAGCAAAGCTAAATAATTAACAAATTAATAATATATAATCCTGATTTGAAATAATAGTAACAGTGAACGTGTGAACAGTATTAAGGCAAAGCTTTAGCAAAGCTAAATAATTAACAAATTAATAATATATAATCTTGATTTGAAATAATAGTAACAGTGAACGTGTGAACAGTATTAAGGCAAAGCTTTAGCAAAGCTAAATAATTAACAAATTAATAATATATAATCCTGATTTGAAATAATAGTAACAGTGAACGTGTGAACAGTATTAAGGCAAAGCTTTAGCAAAGCTAAATAATTAACAAATTAATAATATATAATCCTGATTTGAAATAATAATAACAGTGAACGTGTGAACAGTATTAAGGCAAAGCTTTAGCAAAGCTAAATAATTAACAAATTAATAATATGTAATCCTGATTTGAAATAATAGTAACAGTGAACGTGTGAACGGTATTAAGGCAAGGTTTTAGCAAAGCTAAATAATTAACAAATTAATAATATATAATCCTGATTTGAAATATGTCTCGACATACATATGTCACACCTATAGAAATGTCATTTTTGTCATGCCAAAAGTCGATGTTTAAAAACTGTCCAGGAATTCTAATAGAGATTTGATGAAATCCTGCGCAGTAGCACCCAAGTAGTAGTATATTGAATCGAGCAATACGAAAAACATTAATTATGGTGTGTAGACAAACTAAAATTGTTTAAATTGGAAAAAGTTCACATCAGTTTAAACTTTAATAAAACATAAAAAGTTTCTACACAATAAATTTTTTACACAAGAAAGTAATGTTTCCGATTCGTTTATGTAAATAAATTATGTTTCAAGCATTCAGGACATGTTTTTTCAGATGTGTATACGATAATAGTTTTGACTACGTGTAAGTTGAACACCGGTGATAGAGGTTAACTTTTAAAGTTTGTGTACGTAAAAAATGTTATCCTATAAAATGTAAGCAAACCAAAAATTTCTGTGCTATTGCTTTCTTCAAGAAAGCAAATCAAACTATGGTTCCCGGTTATCGTATATATGTAAACGTTCTACAAGACGGCGTAACTGGTTTTAGGAATAATTTTTGATTTGCTTAGAAAAGAATATATTTATATATTTTATATGAGTATCTCTATGAGTTTCGAGACGAAATCTACTAAGGACTTTAAATTTTGATTGTAAAAATTAACAATTTTATTAAACTAAGTTCTGTTTTAAATTAAGTTTCAATAATATTATAAATCGTTTTCATTTTGCTGCATTTCAGAGTTTCAACTATCTATTTTGTTATGATTTAAGTGAACATCATCATAATAATGAAAAAACTGTTATTTAAATTAGGCCCAATTTTTTGTTTACTTTTGAATATAAACATATATTTTCGTGACATTCTTGCAGATACAGTAGCAAGCACAAATGGTACGTACTATTTAATAATTTTTGCAATATTACCTATTGGTGCCAAAAAAAACTAATATTTCACTTATAGAGTTTCTAACTATGGACGGACCATACTTTGATGATATTAGTCCACGAAACGTTACAGCCGTTGCCGACGACACAGTTGTATTGAGGTGTAAGGTTAAAAATAAAGGCAATAATACGGTGCGTATAGAGTATCTATTAAGTCTAATTTTTGACTTTATATATCAAGTTTTTCTTATTCGTTATAGGTATCATGGATGCGTAAGCGTGATCTGCGCATATTAACTTCAAATGTTT